TCGTCGACGACGATGGCTACGAATGGGGCGGTGACGTCGACACTCGACCGCTTCCTGGCGTCCCCGCCGGCGTCGTGGGCCGTGGCGAGCGCGTGGGACTGTGGCGGCGTGTTCCGGCTCGAGGTGCGCGGCGCGGCGCGCCAGCCGCGCGCTGGACCGCGTCGCCAAGTGGCTGCGCGTGCCGTCCGTGCCCGACTTGTTCCGCCCGTTCGCGGGGTGGTTCGTGTACGGCCTCGCCGGGAGCGGCCGCGACGCCGCGCTGGGCGCGGAGGCGGTGTTCACGTCGATCGTCAACATGGAGCGCGGCAGGGCGGCAGCCGTCGCAGTGGATCAGGTGGAGGCCATGGACCCCCTCGGCATGCGCATCCGGCACTGGCGTCGCCTGTCGTGCACCGAGGACCTGTGGTGCATGAAGGCGGCTCGGCGGCGGCCTGCATGCGGACGGCTGGGATTGGGCCAGGTCGGTCCCTGCTCGCTCCATTTTCGTGGACCCAAGGGAGGTGTGACTCAGCGGGCCGGCCAGAGTACGTAGAGCTATAATATACGGAGTAGTACGTACTGTAGTATATACTCTGTCGATCAGGTAGATATAGTATGTCTCTCGTAGTCGTTGTGTTCGCGGTGTTCTCCCTGCATTATGTGCATAGTATAATGCCCGTGCAAACACAACGGTTTTATCTAAAGAATGATCATAAAAACATCTAATTTATTATTTTATAGTTTAACATTTACCCAATTATTATATTGTAGCCTAATTTGTCATGGATATTAGTTAATGCAGAAGACGTACGTGTAGGGAGGAGCCGGAGACACGGCTATTTCTGGAGACATCGAGCGTCAACATGACTGGTCGAGGATTTGCATTAAGTATAGCTGTATGTTATATTTAAGATGGTATACATAAACAAACGTTATTTGAAGAATAATCATGACAAGGACATTGTGGAGAAACGTCGTAATAAAAATTATATTAAATATAAATATTAGAAGTGTACTTATCTTTGGATAGAAATCTAGTCGATGGCGATAAAGTTGTCCGGTCCTCGTGCTTTTCGGCCTGTTGTGACGGTGGTCGCGGTTGTCATAGCGCCGTTCTTCGTGGCAATCATCATTGCGACGTGGTATGGTGGTCGAGGTGGTCGGAGCTCGGCGGAGCCGCTCGGGACGTGGTCGACGTGGTCGATGTGGTCGGAGCTCGGCGAAGCCGCTCGAGACGTGGTCCGTAGTCGTGTGGTCCGTAGTCGACGTGGTCGGAGCTCGGGGCGTGGTCGACGTGGCTGCTCGATTAGTTCGGTGGTCAGAGAGCATGTACCTAGCTCCATCGCATGGGGAGGCAAAAGCCCTCGGACATGTCCAGCCGAGGTCGGTCTACTCTGAAAACCCAAGAATGGTGGTTGGTTTTAACCGGTAGAGTTAGAATAACAATAGACTTCGAAGTGACACACTAGGGTGGTCGGAGAAATCATAATAGCTTTATTGAAATAAATCAAAAGTACAAGAGGGGTACATATCTTAGTAGCTAAGCATAGAAACGCCTAAGCTTGTCGATGTGTCAGGAATTGGGTACGTCTGTGCCGTCTAGGCGAGCTAACCTGTAAGACGTAGGGCGTGTGACCTCCTTGATCATGAAGGGTCCTTCCCATGGGGTTGCGAGTTTGTGGACACCAGCCTGATTCGTCTTCCACTTTAGGACCAGGTCCCCGACCACGAAGAACCGCTCCTTAACGCACACCCCCCTACTTGCTGATTTCATAATTAACAGGATATGCTCATGCGGCAAACCCCTTTTTTGGAACTCCGTGACATGCACATAGGTCAACGTGAGGCGATACCTTCCCTGTGGAATTGCCTAGCTTCGTCGTCATCGCTCTAATGTTCCATGTCTTCCCGGAGATCTGTTGCATGGGCAGCATGTGGTATGTTAAAAACTAACTCTTATGCAGTCATGTTTGTGTCATTAAAAAGCAACCCACCTCCTTCGTCGTCAGATTCTTGTATCTCGTTGTTTGCCGGCTGGAACAAAGTTTATTCTCTAGTATAATGCTCGTGCTAACGCAACGGATTTATCTTAGAGACGCACATGAAAACAACAAATGTTTTTTTCCATAGTTCAATATAATTGCAGTAGTCATGCTGCAATCTCCAATTCAGTGATTTAGTTTGTAAACCAAGTCTCCAAGGGGGAAAAAAGAAAATTCATGAGTGCTCTTGTGTCCTGCATCAGAAGCTTCACAGGATCTGATGGGGCATCATACCACACACAACCACCGGTGACCACACCAAATTCTACAGATCGTCAGAGTATATCTGCAAACAAAGACAATAGAGATGCTTCTTGCAAGCGAGCGGAGGGGGGGAATAAAGGAGAGGAGAGAGGGTTTGCTCGATAAGGGAGGCGTGCGGGCGGCCGTGTCCCCAAAAGAAGAAAGAAGGGAGGGGGTCCGGTACGGGGACGTGGGCGAGGATCAAGAGCGGACCAGAGGGCAGGAAAAGGAGAAGCGCACAGTGCACCAGGACGACGAGTGCGGAAAAGTTACTATTCGAGTAGCCTAGAGTGATTGGAACGCTTAAATTGCCGCACTCGTCTTGTTCACTCGCACAGTTCGTTTTCTCTCCTTTTCCCACACCCTGTCGGCTCTCGACTCTCGCCCTCGCCCCCATACCGGACCCCTCCTTTTTCTTCTTTTGGGGCACGGCCGCTCGCACGCCTCCTCGTCGAGCGAACCCCTTTCCCCTCCTTTTTCCTCCCTTCACTCAAGCTCACACAGGGAGCGCACCATGGCCGACGCTCTCCCCACCTCGTGACCCGCCAGTGTTTTCCTTCCACGCCGCCTCCACTTCCCGGTTGCTTGGGTGCCCCCGATTTAGCTACATTTACTCCACACCCATGCAACCAGCAAAGCGCACAGCAGACCGCATGCAAATTAAAGCCGCGCGCACCGCCAGTGGCCACTCACCCACGCTCCTTTTCCCGCACACTGGTGCCTTCCCCTCAGCATCACGCCGCTGTCTCTTCTGCACCACCACCCACCGCACGTCGCACCACCGCCCCATGACACCTCTCGTGATGTCACCTCCATTGGCCCGCTGCCGCTGTTGTCCCCCACAAACCTGATTCCCTCGGCCCTTAATGCTGCTCAGTGCCGCCGATAATGGCGCGCACCCACCCTCTAAACCCGCATTCAATCGCCTATATCCCCCTTCACAACAAGACACTCCACACTCAACACTAATCACCAGCATGAGCCCCCTATTCAAATGCCAACCTATTTCAACATTTTAAGAAAAAGCCTAAGATAAGTGTTGCAAGCTGGAGACTATCGAAGAAAACATCAAGCAGGAGCCGGGGTACATTGTCAGAAGCAAGAAGCTGACACTCTCAAGATGTGCTTATATGAAGATGAGCTCACCATGACCATCTTTGCTATCCTAATTCCTCACTTTTCAATCAGTCAGACAATTTTAAATTTAATCAATGAGATAGAGGGTGTGGTTTTAAAGACGTGGCCAGAGATAGCGTGATGTGAACCTCAGGAATTGCCTTCTACTTTGTCAGGACCATACAAAATCTTATAGACACGGTTTACGCTTCCAAGACGTTGAAAAAGTTAGTTCAAATTTGGTCACCTCCATTCTTTTTAGGTTCATACTTCGCTACTTGCGGCCAGGGAGGAGTTGTGCCACCGGTGCTCAGCTTCTCGCCATTAATGGTGTCGCTGTGGCGCCATGGCTGCACAGGAAGATGGGACGACACTACAGGTGGGTGGTGCGACGTGTAGCGGGGGGCGGATGCTCGGCATGCATGGCCGGTGGCTCATAGCGTGATGGTCGGCACGCATGCGAGTACGAACCGCGTGCATGCTGCTGAGGCCTTTGCTTGTGCCTATGTGCTAACTTTGCATGGTGCATGTAAATGGACGGCGGCTAGTTAGCGTGATTAAAGGTAACAAGGTGCTGCTGGTGCGTGCAAGGTAAATGTGGTGGTTGTCTGCGTGCGTGCTTGCCTTGCTCTATTTGCTGCGCATATACGGTTGTGCTGCTCGTGCTACTGCCATGCATGGACAAGGGAGAGGGAGGGAAGGTGGGAGGTGGGACCCCTTCTGTCGTGGCAGCGTGTGAGCTACCGCAGTCGGCTAGGGGTGTCCGAGCGCTGGTGCGCTGCGGTGGCGATGGTGGTGGGTCGGCGCACGCACCATTGTCGGGCATCGGGCAACAAAGGACCAAGTCATCAAAACCGTTTTATTTCTTGCTTATGTATCTGTAATTTGACCATCTTAACCATGCCAACGTTCCATTGAAGGACAACCAGCAGACACATTATATATGTCCCGTGGTTGCCTGCTTTTATGTTGTGAGCAGGCTAATGTTTACTTAGTCGTGGAATTGAAACACCATCTAAAACATAATCTAAGAGCAACCACAATGTTGCAGAAAAGTAGTCCATATGCATTAGAATAGTCTACCAGCTAGCTGAAACATTGTAGACTTTGTCTTTGGTTACATGACACACGGCATGCAATCTCAATATACCCATTTTGAAATTTGAAACAAACACCGTTTCATCTAAGAACAGAGAAGCCTTCTCATTCTGATTCTGATCCTTTAAGCTATTTCCTTGCTGCTGCTTCTCATTGCAAATCTGAAATGTTCATCATCATCCATAGCAAATACTAGTAGTTTGATTCAGGAATTCACATCATAACTCACAAATAAGGTCATTTAGCATTTTCCCATTTAATCAAAACCTATATCAAAGAAGAATCAGAACGTATTATACAGCCATTTACAGAATTATACCCACTCTATGGCTACCTTTGTGTGTTATCCATTTATCCTTGTATGTTTGTTCTCCCCCTCCATCTAATCTAATATAGAAAACCACCCAACTCCGGCACCGTCAACCAAACAATCCAAAATACAGACTAGACCTGAGCAATCTCAATCAATCCATTCCGAAATTTGAAAAAGACACGTTTCATCTCAAGAACAAAGAAGCCTTCTCATTCTGATTCTGATCCTTTAAAGCTCTTTTCTTGTTGTTGCTGCTGCTCGTTGCCATTGTCATGCTGCAAAGCACCGGGCACCCACCAAACTCTGATGGTCTTGTCAAGGCTCCCGCTGTAGACCATGCAGCCATTGCTGAGCCTGCACCAGGACGCCTGGATGCATTTTACAGGGCCCTCGTGGCCTCCAATGACGCCCACCTTGGCCAGCTCGTCGCCGCTCTGACGGCGCCATAGGCCGATGGTCTTGTCGGCGGAGCCGGTGTAGAGCAGGTCCCTGACGATGCAGAGGCACAACACTGCCATGTCGTGCGCCTTCACATCGCACGCAAGGGTCCAGCACGCGGCGGTCCTGCCGCCAAGGCGGTCCCAGCCGGCGACGTGGCCGTCGGAGCCTACGGCGTAGACCTGGCAGCCAGCGGCGGTGACGGCGAGCGCGTTCCAGGACATGCCATCGGGCGGCGAGCGTTATGCGTGAGGCGTGCTCAATCTAGAGGCGCTGGTGGCTGCGCCGCCGGCGGTAGTCCCCGGCGGTGGGCAAGACGACGAGCTTGAAGGCTTTCTCTCGAGCGGGAGCGACGGGAGACGCACAGCGGCCATCCTAGTTGTGGCGAACCTCCTAAATTATAGGGCCCACATACACACATCACCGCGTTAAGAAGACTGCCGGGTGTCCTCGAAGAACCCCGAATCATCCACGATTTCCGAGCGAGATCACATTACGAGTCATTGCGATATTACAATGTTTATTCAAATAGATATATCAAAGTAAAATATAGCGGAAGCATTATAGCAGGATAATTATTAATACAAAACGAAGTAGTGGAGTGGCATTATAATATAATACAAAACACACAATAAACTGCCTTCCACCTAAGGGCCACACATTTACTCGTCATCGAGATCGAACTATAGTCATGCAAAGACGGCGACGAGGATGCCCTGGAGGAAACATGCGATGCCTTTCATATCCAACACTTTCTCAAATTGCCCTTCTCCCACGCCTTGACGCTGCCGTCGGTGGAGCTGGAGTAGATGACGCCGGCGTCGGCGGTGACGGCGTTGACGGCATCCTCGTGGGTGCGGATGGACTCGAGGCACTTAAGGTCAGCGATGCGCCAGACCTTGAGCGTGCGGTCCCAGGAGCCCGAGTAGAGCAGCGCGGCGTTGTGCACGGTGGCGGCGATGGCGAGGCAGGAGATGTTGTTGGCGTGCTCGATCTAGAGGCGCTGGTGGCTGCGCCGCGCCGTCGTCTGCACGTAGATGGCCTAGCGGAACACTCGGCCCAGGTAGTCCCTGGCGGTGGGCAGTGCGGCGACGAGCTTGAAGGCTTTCTCGGAGCGGGAGCGACGGGAGACGCACCAGATGTGGACGCGGCCATCCTAGTGCGCGGAGAAGACCTGCCCGCCCGCGGCCACCAACGCCTTGATGGAGCCACCGTTCTCGCTGTGGCCAAACCACGCGAAGCGTCGCAGGTCGGGCTGCTGCCACGCCACGATGTCGCCACCCATGGACGCGCTGAGCAGGAACTCCCCGCAGAGCAAGAGGCTGGAGACGGAGCCCGCGTGGTCCAGTAGCACCGCCAGCGCCTTGCACGGGCCCTGTGGCTGCGGCGGCGGCATCGCGGCGAGCGGTGGGAAAGTGGAGTGGGGTGAGGAGGAGGCGAAGGTGGTGGAGGAGGAGGAGGAGAAGGACGCGAAGGAGGTGGAGGAGAAGGAGAGCTCACGGCCGGAGGTGTAGGTCGCGCGCACGTCCTCCATGGGCCGCCCCGGCACGCGCCCCACCGCCCTCACCCCCGCCCCCTCCCGCGCGATCGCCGCCTGCTTCGGCTGCGGCTGCTACGACGGCGGCGGGGCCTGCTGGTACTGCTGCTGCGTATGCGTCTGCGGCGGCGGCGGGGTCGGCGAGGTCGGCTGCTGCTCGGCGGCAGGGCGGTTGTAGCGCGACGCACGGTTGCCCATGGCCGCCTGCCGGGCTGGGGTCCGACGAAGGGGGGAGGAGGTGGCCTCGACCAAAGTGGAAGAGGACTGGGGAAAACGAGCGCGGCCTGCGCCGATCACAAGCATGTGGGTGAAGGAGGGCGCGTTGGGTCGTGGTCCGTGGGATTGTGTGCGGCGAGCGAAGGGCAGTGCAGAGCAGGTGTGCGGTGTGCCGGCGTGCGAGCGTGAGCACGACAGCCATGGCATGGCGTGTGGGCGTGGGCGGTTTCCGGGGATTGAATTGAACACGAGGGAGCCGGTGTCTGGTGTGGCCGTGTGAGCGAATGCGTGGTGGGGACGGGAGCATGAGGGGGCCGTGGGGTCAGTGGCATCTTGTGCTTTTGCTGGGATGCTCCTGGTCAGCAGGTGGTCACCGTGATTTCTTTCGTTCGGCTTCCCTTTCTTTTAGATGCATGGATGCACGTGCAAGTACAAATATTTTTGTATGGTTGATGAATTGTTTTTATCTGATGGCAAGGAGAAGAGGCATTAAATTTGTCCACCTGCCCGACTTGTTTTTATGTGATGGTAGCATGGAGGGGAGGCATTAAATGTGTCCACCTACTTTCGACCGACCCTGCATAGGTGAAGATGGCCAGTGCTTTCAAATTTTCTGAGTGAATTTCTGGATAGCTAACGGAGGCACTCGTGCATGCATGGAAATTTACTGGCTAGTATCTATTGATAGTAAATTCATTAATGTAAAAGGAGAAGGTACATGTGATGTAAATTTCTCCTGTTAGAGTAACTTTTTTATGTAAAGGACACGCGAAAGCACAGTGATGTAAAACCCTCCACTGTAGTAAATTTTTATATGCAAAATACACATATAGTTTACACTGTCCTTTCATGAATGGTCATTCAATTTTTCAACTGCTTCATTGAATGCGCCCACTGTGTTTACGGTGTCTATTGTGTAATATTAAGATATGTATATATATGATAGGATGGTCTAGCACACAGCTGTAATCCCGTACGCTTCCTATGGTGCTAAGCGTATTGTTTGATCAAACATACTACTTTAATTACAAAGATGCACGAGTCTTTTGCGTATTCCAGGAAAAAAGATGTCTGGATTTTCGGACAACAATTTTATAACAATTAAAAGGACCATAATATAAAATTTATTTCTTAGTACAAGTTACTTGAACAACAATCAGCTTGTTCGCTTATTGGTTTCACAATTTAAACCAAATCAAACGGTGTTTTTTCTCAAAAAAAACAAAGACTAGCCAAAATTCAAAACCAAAGACCAAATTTCCCAACCAAATGAACAGGCCCAATAAAAAAAATCAGACACCTAAAATATAACAGAAATGGATAATATATATACCTTTAGTGTGACTTGAGTTTACGGTAGCAAAATAACGGTGTCAAATTATAACGTATATACCTTTGGTGTGCCTAAACCTAGTAGCTAACTGATGTGACACGATGATTGCGTGCAGGCGTGCACTCCATCGGCGTCTGCTACGGCATGCTGGGCAACAACCTCCGTCCAGCAGCGACGTGGTGCAGCTCTACAGGTCCAAGGGCATCAACGGCATGCGCATCTACTCCCCCAACGCCAACGCGCTCAACGCCCTGCGCAACTCGGGCATCGTCCTCGTGCTCGACACCGGCAACGGCGACGAGCTTAGCCGGCTCGCTGGCAGCGCCTCGTATGTGGCGTCGTGGGTGCAGAGCAACGTGAAGCCCTACTACCCCGCGGTGAACATCAAGTACATCGCCGTGGGCAACGAGGTGCAGGGCGGTGCGACTTTAAGAATTTTCAAACCAGAGGCTCCTCTCATTTTAGTTATAGTACGCCTTTTACAGAGGGTTGGTATATATATAGGAAGAAAAAACCCTTTATTTTTATATCAACTAACAATATAATATTAATTGATGTTGTGCTCTCTACCTTCACTTGTGAGCTTAAGCATTAAAGTCCATTAAGGAACAAAAACAATAATGGATCTTGCATGTTTATTAGAATTTCTGCATATGAGCTTTGAAATCTAACACTTTTTTGGTCCATCCTTTGAAACTACATGCTGCACACACTTGCTATTCAATTATATATATAAATAAATAAGTTTTGTATGTTCAGTTCCTACAAGGTGTTTTGTTCACCATTTTGTAACGTAATCAGATCACGGAAGGGAAGTGATACCATTACTTTTGTTTGGTTGCATGCAGTCGATAATGCGTTACCATGTAATTGATTACCGGACTATTCAATTTTTATTCCGCTGGTTGCAGACTGTTATCAGATTACGATGCCTGCGCTCGAGAATCAGCCTGCATCGTTCTGACCTTGTGCTCGAGAAGTTCCGCTGCCCCCGCCTTCCCCTGTGAGTTCTGTCAGCGCGGCCGCAGCCTCCTCGTCGGCTCTGCTCGAAGTAGCGTCTGTTGCGGAATTCATGGCAACTGCATGCCGCCGCCGCCGGTGGTGGCGGCTGTCCACGAAGGCGAGGCCAGAGAGCCATTTTGCTGGCACAGATCGGCCAACGTAGGCATAGATGGACTCAGCGAAGTTAAGATTCTAGGCTCCGGCGAGCGAATCTGGGCAGGAACGCGGGCCGCGACCACCTTGCGCTCTGGTGTCTAAAGGAAGAAGACGACTCTGGCTGCAATTTTTTATTTTCAAAATGGTATGGCATATCGTTACCTTACAGAACCAAACAAAGACTGCAATCACGCATTACAGCTCCTATCACGTTGTAATTCCATTTCGTTTGCGTTAGTGTTACCATTCGTCGAACCAAACACCTTGCTAGTTCCTAGTAATTCGTAATTCTACAGATTTAACATACACTTATATAGGTTTTCGACAAAAATTCTTATCAGTGAAAAGCCTGATTTAAGAAATAGGCACAAACAACCCCGCCCGGAGTACGAAATCAAGGATATTGATATCCAAAATATAGTTGGGTGTCTATAATTAACGTGAAAGCCCCTGTCGATAAAATACGGCCGGCTGTCTACGGGGGTATGTCCACGGTAGTCGGTGCGGAAGTGCTTGACGGTGCCGAACTGTACTGGTAGGTTGATTTGCCCAAGAGGTTGGGACGCCTTCCTGGGAAGGATCTCCCAGAATGGAGAGTCCATGGGGTGAGGTCTTCCTTCTTGAGCCCTAGCTCAGCTAAGGATATGGCAAACAGGATGTTGAGGGCGCTCCCTCCATCGATGAGGATCTTCTGGAAACGCACGCCCTGGATGATAGGATCCAAGACGAGGGGGAAACACCTAGGGTATGGGATATCTACCCATTAGTCGGCCCTAGAGAAGGTAATCGAGTGCTCTGACCAGTTCAGGTACTTTGGATCTGTGACCTTGCCGTCGTAGGTGGTGACTGACATGATCTGCCAGACGGTGTGCTTCTGTTCACGCTTGTTCTCAGAGGTGGCTCTTCCACCGAAGATGGAGGCAACGGTCTTGGTGGCATCCGGGTAGGGAGGGCCTGCATCCTTCTCCCGTCCTCCACCTTGGCCATCGTCTGCATCGTCATCGTTGCGTCGTGGCCTGTTTGCATCCTCTACGCGAAAAGCCCTGTTTAGACCCTTGCACTCCCACATGGTGTGCTTGGCGCCTTTGTGGATAGGGCATGGACCATCCAGGAGCTTGGCGTAGTCGGCGTCATAGGTGCGCTTAGCGCGAGGAGCATTGACGGCGTTGACTGAATTGTCAGGCCTACGGTGATGATTCTGTCTGCCCCTAGAGCTCTCGGGGTGATCGTTGCACCGGTGCTCGTGATCATCAAGGCGGCGGTCGCGGTCGTCATGGCAGCGGCCACAGTTGTCGTAGCGCCTTTCGTCGCGGCGATTGTCATGACGGCGTTGGGGGCGATCAGAGCGGATGACCTGTTTGGCTTCCTCGACATCGACGTAGCCGCTTGCTATTTATATCAGCTCACCGATGGTCATAGGCCTCTTGCGGTATAATTTTCCAAGAAGCTGCTCATGATAGAGGAGCCCCTTGGTGAACAAGGCACTAGCCTCGCTGTCGCTGATGTTGGGGATGGAATTCCTCGTCTCCGAGAAGCGCCTGATGAAGCTGCGCAGGGGCTCCCTGAAGGTCTCATAAAGCTTTTCTAGGTCATACTTGGTGCCTGGCTGCTCGCAGGTGGCCATGTAATTCTCGGTGAAGACCTTCTTGAGGTCGTCCCAAGATCGGATGGAGTCTTCCCACAGGCTAAAGGGCTAGTTATTCGCAGATTGGTTGAGCACGATGGGCGGGTAATTTGCCATCACATCTTTGCTTCCGCCTGCAGCTCTCATGGCGATCTCGTAGAGCGTTAACCACTGCGTGGGGTTGGCCTTGCCGTCGTAGGTGTCCACCCCAAAAATCTTGAAGCCCGAAGGCCACCGGACAGCTCAGAGTCTTGCCGTGAAAGGACGAAGTCCGAGGACACCAGGAACAGGTGGTGCTCGAGCGGCACCGGGTGCTCCATGCTCGGTGTCGAACTAGCACCAATGTTCCATCTCTACGTCGCAGCGCGCGACCCTGCTGTTTTCGATGCAATCACAGGCGTTGATGTGTTCGCGGACGTCATACGGCAGGGGTTGATTCAGTCCTGGTTGCCGCTGCGGTTGCTGCCTCGGTCGCCCGGTGGACGAGGAGGGCATCTGGCCTGGTCCGGATGTCCTTTGTAGTTGCCCCTGGACCCTTGATAAAGGTAGGGGCCGCCACCTTGAGGTCGAGGGCACTCGGAGCCCTGATGTTGACTTCCTCTGTTGTGGTGGGAGCGACGGCTACGAGCCGACGTGGTCGGTGTAACACCCAAAATTTCAGTCTTTTGAAATAAGAAAAATTCAGTTTAATTATGTTATTATGTGAACATTGAAATATAGGAAAGAAATAATTTTTGTGAAAATAAAATCAAATATAAGGTTAGTAACATGTTGATGCACTCATGCTGGAGCATTGTATTTAATATGTTGAGTGGTTTTTTATTTAAACTCAAAAGGATTCAAAACTCATTTGAAAATACAATTGGAAATTTGATTTGAAAAAAAAAAACAAATTACTTTTCCCTTCCCTCCCTTCCTCAGTTTCGGCCCGCAGGCCATTTCTCCCTCCCACTGGCCCAACTGGCCTACTGGCCCGTTTACTCACTGCGGCCCGCTCTCTCTCCCCTCCTCCTGTTCTTGGGCCGGCCTAGCTCACGTGAAACCGCCGCGCCGCAGCCCAACTTCGGCCAGCAACCGCGCCTCTGCTCGAGCTCAGCCACTGCTTAGCCGGCCCCGCTTGTCAGCTCCTCCCCCCACCTCCTCCCGCGCGTCCCGCAACCGCCCGCGCCAGTCATGCCGCAAGGCAGCAACCGTCCTCCCCATGCCCGGCCTCTTTAAAACAGCGCCGAGCCCTTCCCCGCTCTCTCTGCTGCTCCTTTCTCCCTCTCGCATCGCCCGTGCATGAGGTAACCGCCGCGCCAAGGAATCGCCAGGATCCGCCGCCCGCCTCCACGCGAACCGCCGTCTCCGAGCCATCGTCGACCCCGTTCTCCCCGCTGTGAGCTTCACCGTGATCCCCTCTCTCTCCCCATGCGGTTTATTTCCCGTTTTGTGGCTTCTAGAGCCCTATTCGCGGGCGCCCGTGAGCTCTTGCTCGCCGGCCATGGCGGCCACCGCGCCAACCGCGTCCACCGGCCCTATTCTTGGCCTGGACAGGTTCGCGAGAACCTCTGCAACTCCCCGGTGCCCTCGGTTCTTCAAACCGTGGCCCGTAGGCCCCTAACCGCGCGCTCTGACGACCTCCACGGCGCCGACCATGGAGCCTTGCCGCCAGCTGCACTGTGCCCGGCTGGACCTCCTTCTCTCTCTTCCCCTCTCCAATCCTAGCCGTCCATTTTCAGATCTATGACCAGGATTAGAAGTTACCCCTTCACGGGTAAAATTTCTAAAGAGCCCCTCGGTTTTCATCTATTTGAACCCGCAATCCATAGCGTAATTTTCCGAGTACGCTTTCCCCTTTTGAAAACGTAAACTTAATTGTTTTAGTCCAAAATACATTTTAGTATTTATAGAAATGCCACTTGATTTGTTTTGCTCATAAAAACTTCGTTTTAGTTCCGAATTGACCCGTTCAACTTGCGTTAGTTTTGTAATTTCGTAATCTACGTGTTAGTACCACTATTAACCATGTTTGCAACTTTTTAAATTTCAGGGTTAGATTTAATTAAATAAATTGCTATAGGAAATCCCGTTTAATTCATAACTTTCGCATTTTAGCTCCGTTTTTCGTGAACTTCGCGTTGACATGATCGTAGCGAGACATAGATTCTTTTCATAAACATTTTATCTTGTTTTCTATATAGTTGGTGTACTATTCTAATTATAGGAATGTTTGCTTTGCATGAATGCCTTTGGAATGTTGTATGTTGCCGTGTTGGTCGCGTTCAGACGGTGAGGAGAACGTTGGAGATCAAGAGTTCTTCGACGACCAACAGGACCAGCAAGAGTTTGTGAACCAAGGCAAGTATAGCATGGGATCTACCTTGATGTCTATTCACCTTTATTAATTACTCATTTGCATGGTCTAATTTTGATACCCGTAAGGATATCCTAGTGATTGATTATCCTGTTCCTTGTCTCCTATGGGTTATATGCATATGGGTAGTTTGCTAGCGCTCAATGTAACTATACCTGATCTACATAATGAACAATGGTTCTATGGAACAAAAAGGTAAAATTGACTTTTAAACAACTGGATTATAGGGCGATGGGGCAAATGACCTTTTGATCATGATGCTCTCGGCCCTCCATAAGGACTTATCTGTCGGCAAAAGCTAGGATTGACAGTGCAACCGTGAGGGTCATATGGCTCTGACTTTAGCTCAGTAATAGAACCTTTTCTAGCTTATTAGAGGTTACCTTTATGGCGCAAAAGGGGCTTGCCACGTTGGGTATAGGATTGCCTCTGTTCCTATGTGTATAGCCGCGATGGATATGTGCCATAGGAAAGGGGGGTTCCTACATCTGCCTGCCAAGGAAACCTAGCGGCCCTAACTTGTTAGAGAAACCTATGAAATGGCTTCATAGTGTACCCTGCTCGCTCACCTTGGCAGTGATATGGGAGTAATTAACCCAAGCATATGGGAATCACGACTCGCGGTAAATGTGCACCACCTCTGTAGAGGGTAACAAACTATTATAACAGCCGTGCTCATGGTCACGAGTGGCCCGGAAAACTCACATAATAGATGGCTACTTATAATGTTGTTTATACAAGATGATTATGATGATATTATGATGATGTTACATGACTCAATTGGATCGGATATATGATCATGTGGGTTTAAATGGGAGCTTAAGCATAACTTGATAATAACTGATGATAAAATATTGACTTACTAAAAGTGCTAACTGCAGTAAACCAGTGTCATCCTTTTTGAGCCTCATGAACCCCATGTTGTCTTGTTAAGAACGGGAAGTACTTACGCTTGTTTATTTTATATATTTGGATAAAAATCCCGGATGAGTAACAGATGACAACGGATATGAGGAGTTTCCTGAGGATTATTAGGCTTGGGGTCAACCAGTCGACCGTCCCTGTGTTGGAGCTATCACAAAAGAGCTATCTTTTTACTTTCCGCTGTGATGTGTAAGACTATGTGATGCTATTATTCGTTATGTAAGATACACCATGATGATACTTTTTATAATTTGTCAGCTTATGTGTGTGACTGATCCCTAGGCACACATGAGTTTAGTGCACTCAATTTTATCCTTAAAATTGGGTGTGACAGTCGGGTAAGACGAAGCAGGATGATGGATCTCGTTGACTTGAACTTGAGACGCTTTGATATGCGCCTGGATCTTCTCGAGTTTTGGAGTCTGTGGGAGCTTCTCCAACTCATTGAAAATGACGACAAGATTGGCGCTTGGCGTCTTCTGCACCAGCTAGTTGCCCACCATGTCGAACTCATCCTCTAGATTGCGACGC